ATATCGATATTACTTTTAAAATACAGGTTGTTTGTTTTTTGGGTCACCCGATTTTGAGCCATTTCTTATGAAGGGAAAAATAAAATCTGTAATTTTATATAGATGTATGCAGACATAAAAATGTTTCATTTAATAAGCCCTTTTTATATTAAAGTAAAAAATCAAATCAACTAGGTAGAGAAATAGAAAGCACATACCTTCAGCAACAGTTCGTATAGGGCTATATTGAAATGGAATGGCGATTCCTCAGAAAGTGTTATTTTTAGTACAACGTCAAGTCCGGGAATATGAGGTTTTCCCGATTTTATTTTATTTTTGACATTTCCGTTTATATGGCACTTCATTAACATACGTACAAAATGCGAAACAATAAAACTAAAATCAGTTATGTAAAATAAATAAACAGTTTTAAAATATTATTAAACATTATTTTATGTTGTATTTTAAAACTCCATTCTTTTTTTTTTTTAATATAACATATAACAATCACTGTTTTGAAAACAATATCGAGTTTTTTTAACGAAACAAAAACTTTAATATTGTGTATTGTCAATAAACTCGTTAATTAGCTTTTACAGATTCATTTATTGATTACCAATATCCACCTATACATCTCTTTATATATATATATATATATATATATATATATATATATATATATATATATATATATATATATATATATATATATATATAAATATATATATATATATATATTTCTGTTTCTGACACAGGGTTGCTCCGGTCGTCGTTTGGCAGTTCTTCAATAAATGTTTGCTTTGTTCACATACCCAGTGTTTTAATTTCAATGTCTTTAAATTTTATACTGGCCAGAATATGTGTGTAATTTTGTTTTGGGTGGTCAGACACGTAGCGGGCAGCTTGAGCATGGTTTCTGTCTCTTGCAGCACGACTGGATGCTCTGGCCTGTCGGTGACCACCAAGCATAGAGCTGAACTGTTTATTCTAGTTGTCTCTGTACATGATAACGTGTGGTTTTTCCTTTACTATTTGCATTTGTTTGTGAATTTCAGTAGCATATTGCTTGTCATATTGATGATGTTGTTTTGTGTCTCTGGTGTATTAAGAGAGGTTTGCAAAATGCTGGCCATTCTGCTGAAATCTTTTGATTAACACTGGCCATGTGTCAATCACATTCTATTTAGGAATGTACTCAAACTGGAAAACATGTCAAATCACTTATGTCCAGTTCGTGTGTTAGCTGATGACATGTGTTGTTTTTCCCTTGATTCTCATCGGCAGGTTTAAAAATAACTTTGAAATTTGTGGTTTTACGAGGGTAGAGCGGTGATGTTGGAAACACGGTTTTTAACAGCTGTTAGTTTTATGTTAAAGCAGCCGTTTACGCGCAATAACAGTTAGCACATATTAAAACAACTTTTTATCGATCACTTCATTCATTGTTAAGGCACAATTTCAACGAAATAGCAGCGACGATTGATGTCGTTATGTAGCTACGTAAACACAGCATCACCACTTCTTTTGTTGCATTCTTTGTGCTTATACCGTAATGTTTTAACCCAATCAAAAAACTGAATCTTGAAAACTAATTATTTCATTGCAGCCGATATATAAAAATACTGTAATGGTTTAAAATGATTAATGCCCAGATTTAAAAAAAAACACTTTTATTGCAGCGTTTGTGCTAATTCCGTTAAATTATACAGGATCCTGATTCTTGAAATAAAATCATCCCTTAATTCGAACCTTGTGCATTTAAAACAAAATTATTTACAAAACTACAGAATTAGAAGAAAAATGCTACATAACATTATAATATAAAAACTCTAGATTTTAATTAGACAAACACAAGCTTATAGCTCTCTTTTCATTGTGTTAAAACATTTTTAAAGATTTAAGAAAATAAGTGAGATATCGAAAAACGTATAAAAATTTTAAAGATACATATATTTTATGCAATTCCAAAACATTCCACGTTTCTACAAGTATATATTTATTTTTATTCTGTCTCTCACTTCTTCATTAACCTAAAACGCTATTAGGTAGATACAAGTTTATCTAAATTGTGTTTGTATACTGTTTACCTAATAATATGTATTTTAGTTTTTTTTCGACTTGAATTTTCAAGTCTCTAGATAATTTATATGTTTGAATTGCTTCACAAATTAAATAAATAAAGTATGCACTAATTGTACTGTAAATGTTTGAAGAAATATATAGTTTGCTATAATAAATTACAGGTAATAAAAAAAATTCTAAAATAATTTAGAAGTTTTATTTTTTAAATATAATAAACAAGGTAAAAATAAATATTAAACTTTACAGTGCTATTTTTTTCTGATTAACATAACAATATAGGAAAATGTTTTCAATTTAAAACTTTGATACTAAAATGCTGTTAACATGGATTAACTCCACACAAGTTTAGAACAAGTACATTCGCACGACAATAAAAAATTTGCGTGTGATGGTGTGAAATATTCTTGCTGAAGTGTATAGTAGGCCTAGTAGCAAAAAATATTATCTCGAGATTTAACGCGAGCTCTATGTCGGAGATTGTCGTACAGTAAGGACACGATGGGAAACTAAATTCTATAACTAAACCGAATCAGTAGCGTCAATCGGTACCCCGACAGTTGTATGACCTGAAGCGTACAGGCTTCCCTATCAGTACTAAGGTGTATACATTAGTATTATAGAGCGCCCTATATTATTTAGACTACACCAACCACAGGACGGACCCGGCGCCCTTGCGGTAGTGTAACCGATGGCGTCTGAGAGCGCCCGGCTACGACCCTAATACCCGGTCGGACGTCGAGATGATATTACATTCGTGCCTTTGAGATGATCTACCTCATTATTACATCTGGGTCATCGAGATGATCTACCTCATTATTACATCTGGGTCGTCGAGATATTATATCTCACTATTACACTCGTGTTTTCTGGGTCGTCGAGATGATCTACCTCACTAAAACGTTAAGATGTGGCTCTCTCAACCCTCAACTGGGATCTAAGACATATAGCGCCTGGTTTGTTTACATTTAACCAACTCAGTTCTAACCCACCGGGCACATGAGGCTTGTAATCTGGGGACGGCCACCTATCTAAGAAAGAAAATTCCTAAATAAAACAGAGATGGGGCCCATCTAATTACCAAATTAGGATTCCTTTAGGCTACTCTTGCGACACTTCTGTTTCCAAGCTATAGTAATGTCCTGTTTTGTTTTGGGTGCTTGGATTTTCATTGAGCAATAATCCAACGATCTAGTAGATTATGTTCAGGTTTATTTCATTATGTATATATATATATATATATATATATATATATATATATATATATATATATATATATATATATATATATAAAAAATTCTATTCTATGTTCTACACCAACGAAAATCTTTTAATTACAATTTTCTATGTAGCAAAAGTTTTTGTTCACTTTATGTAATTCAGTTTCTACACGTATAATTTGGCACGTGTACTGTATCTTACTTCTTTATTAAGTTTCACGCAAGATAAATACAGCTTTATCTAAATTGTTGTATGATGTTAACCTAATGATATTTTTTTATATTGTATTCTTTTTTTTAACAGACTTCTTTAATAAATAGTTTAAGAAATGATCTCATAAGGAATAGGTGTCGAGAATTCAGGCTTGACTATACTATATTCTCAAGATTCCTGCACTATGTGATGTAAAATGCAAAAAAGGGTAATGATTATTGATACATTGGGTAAGGGGTGCGCTGTCTGAGATTTTGAATAATAAACTACCCGATCACTAAGACAGAGGCCAGAAAAACTTACCTATGACACGGCAACTTTTGAAAACTTCTCTTGTTAAGTTCATGAACCAAACAACAATTACAATGCAAAATAGCTTAACTTTAACACTTTAGAGGTGATTTTTTAATAGTAATTTTGAATAGCGTTTTAAATAGGCGGATAATTTGTTTTAGAATAAGCAAATTACTTCTTTCTAACCTTTTAGGGCAGCATATTTTGTTTTTTTAATACTTTTAGTGTCGAATTTTGGTCAATAGAAAGACAAGTAGAGATTGTATAACGGGATGATTAGCTAAGGATTTTATGTGAATTAAACTGCTTTTACGCAAAGTCTTTAAAACTTAATTGCTTTGGAACATTTTAAATCTAATGATTAGTTTCAAACAAGTCGTCTGAAAAGTTTTACTTGTTCATTAAATCAAACATGCACAGAAAATATTTGCCATAATACTATGGACCAAGTTTTTGTTAACTATTGTTTTGCTATGTGTAGCTGTTATTGTAGCTAACCGTAATAGATGAGGCGTCCAGATGGTCACTTTTTTTTCAGATACAGTTAAGTCACGCCAATTTTAGAATATACTAGTTACTTACGTCTAACATTTTTCCGATTGAAATAATATGAGTCGATCATATACATTTTATATTGACTAAGTAAAAAAAAATGAACGCACATCATGAAACTTCGACCTATCTGCACACACGGAATTCAACATTGATACATTTTTTAAAAACTTTTTAAATCGGCATAAAAAACAGCAGATTTAATATTTTGCTTCATAACAATGAGTCAAAATACGGGACGAAAGAAAATGTTATTGAAACTGAATATATATTAAAATAAAGTTTATATTCAGCACCCCCCCCCCCTCACCACACACTCTAAACGTTTTTCTGTTTGCCTTCCCATCCTCTCTGTGAATCCCTCCCTCACCCCCCCCCCCCCTAGTTAAACGCTAACAGTATAGGCTTGTCAATCGGGAAAACATCTTATTACAGGACTCTTACTTGTTCTAAAAATATCACATGTGTTTATGTTTCTCCCTATACACATACATTTTCACACTGACGAACAAAAATGAATACGCAAAGAAAAAAATAAAGACATTGGAACTTATCGGGAACAGGTAATATAAGAAGTTATTTATCATACGATTTAGACATAATATATAAGTTCGGGAAAACCACAGATTAACAAACTTTCGTGATACTAATAATAGCACTCTGTGAACGATCGCCATTTTGAATCAACATAGGCCTAAAGGAACTTTTGCTGGCTGTATGTAATTATTATATCTCTTTCTAGTTATATTAATTTAATAAGTTTTATTTTTAAAAAATTAGTTCTTAACTTCAAAATAATTAGGCCACATTGAATAAGATAAACTGAAATATGCTTCGATTTATTCTTATTAAGTTATATCAAACACAAATTATCAATCTAACATCCATATATTGGCATATATCGTACGTAATTAACATATTAACATATTAACATATAGTCTTAATGTTTAGCTAGCAGTTGCCTGTAGTCAGCTAAACTGTGTGAAAAATGTAACTACTTGTTTATAAATGTTTTTTTTTTTTTTTTTTTTTTTTGCGGAAAGAAGTGTAGTTTCAAGGGGGGATTTAAAGTGTGTGTGGTTATTAAAGTAGATAAGGACGTCCTAACGCCAGTTTATTAAAGAAGGTTTTTTTTTAACTACTAGAAACAATAACATCAATATGTATATATATATATATATACATATGTATATATATATATATATATATATATATATATATATATATATATATATATATATATATATATATATACATATGTATCAGTAAATTATAGTAAAGATGAAGGCCTATATATTATTCGTATGTAGATGATTAAATAACGTAACATAATTAAGGACATTTGAGTAACTTATACACATCGTATTGACCTCCCCCCCCCCCCCCCCCAACCACGTTTCGTTAAACGGGAACAGTGTAGGCTTGTTATACAATATGGGGGAGCTGGGATTAAGGGACTTGTTTTAGAGTGAAATTCTGTATAACTTTACAAAAAGTTGTCAAAGGTCAGTGCTACTATAGATATGTTGCTACCAAATTGTATTACTTTATTTGATGAAGCCGTGGATCTGCTTTTATAAAAACATTTTGTAACTCAGTTTTGTTCATGGTTTGCCATTAACTGAACTGAACCTTTTTGATAATTTCAATACGGCTATGTTATGTAAATTTTTTTTTTTTTTGGGAGGAGTCGAGCTTAATGTCAAGCATTGCCAAGGGAAAGAGGCAGGGTGTGTGTTGTTGGTGTGGAGAAGATGTGGAGAAGATGTGGTGTTGTGACGTTTTGAAATATGAAAGATAATATGTCAGGTGGCATGGTTAAAAACGAAGAAATGCAAATAGATTTTATTGGCCAAGTGGGGTTTTATAATCGATCTGAAGTAAAATATTATTAAATAATTTATGCATTATTTAAAACACCCATGGTTTTTGTTTCTCCATAGACACAATAGTTTTCAAATTAACGGAAATAATCAAATTGAATTTACCAAGAAAAAATTAATAAGGTCTACATATGAAACGTTTTCGAACACATTAAAATATAATCACTTATTAATTATGTCGTAATATTGCTAAGGCAGAGGCGTAGCGACCCCTCCCGGCGCCCGGGGACAAACTTTCGATTTGCACCCCCTCTCAAACTTTTCATTTGCACCCCCCCTCAAACTTTCGATTTCCACCCCCCTTGAACTTTTCATTTGCACCCCCCCCCTCAAACTTTCGATTTGCACCCCCCCCCCCTCGAACTTTTCATTTGCACCCCCCCCCCTCAAACTTTCAATTTGGCGCCCCCTTAAGGTAGGCGCCCGGGGACATATGTCCCCCCCGCCCCCCCCCCCCTCGCTACGCCTCTGTGCTAAGGTCACAGAAACAAGTGAACTATACTTCACTTGCCCCATAGACCGTCAGGTTTGAAAGGGAAAGCTTTTTAATGTTGCCAACCGATTTGCAATTACAACGAGTGACCTCCTACATAAAATGATGGTTCTGTTGATCAGTTTTGCTGCAGGATGTAAAAAATAATTAGGTAGAAAGTCACAGAAAATGGGACTATTTAGATCTAGTATTTATGTATGCCAATGTGGACCATATCCATATTCAAAATAATTAAACGTTCTACTATTACCGAAATACACATTATAGCTCTACAAAATGTTGAAATTTAAAAGAAAGATGCTGTGTTTTAAATATGCAGAATTTTAAGCGTTTTTTTTTAATTAATCGCCGTAAAATAGCCTTATTTCTGTAACTTAAGGCCTAAATGGCATGTTAACTGATAAATTATGGTTTCGATACTTCAAAAGTTAAACCAGTTTTACAGCAGACGATCATTTCGTGTCATTTCATTAGCAGACCGGTAGGCCTACTTGGCGTAGGACGTACCAGTAATATATTAGTTAATTACCTAGATGGTTAGATGTAAAATGTAAATCGATTAAGAATCTACCTTGTAACTACATTTCTAGGTTCTAGTTATATAGATCTAGACCTTGTTGGTCAGCTGTTTAGTAGTGTGTAGATGGCTGTAGGGCCTACTAAACCGCCGTTAAGGAGATTATACTTAACACATAGATTCTAGATCTAGATATCTAATCTAGATCTAGATTCTAGATCTATTTCATACTGACTTGGTAATCTATATCTTACTCAATAGATCTAATCTAGATCTAGATTAAGATTCTAGCCTAAACTTTATTCTAGACCCAGACCTAGATCTCGATCTACTAAAAATCTAGATCTAGATCTAGATCTAGATCTAACTACTTTAACTAGACTAGATCTAGATCCTACTAAGTTAGTAGATCTAGACTCTCTAGTAAGATTTAGATTACCAAGTTAGTATGAAGTATATGTTGAGTATAGTCTCAGTGTAGATCTAGTTTAGATACTATTTAGAAAATAGTATAGATAGGCCTAATATTATTATCTAAATCTAGATCTAAATTTTGATAATTATTAATAGTTAATAGCGAGTCTAGTTCTAGTAATTTAGTTGACTGAGTATTTTACCTTAAAGTTAAGTATTTTACTAGATCTAGATCTAGATTTTATGTGAATAGGATTACAATACCTGCAATACCCTATAAATTATGAATAGCCTCAGTATAAATACACATCTTTCAACTTACTAATGCGTATTATGTCTTTAGGTCTAGATGTCTAAGACTATATGTTTTGTGTTATGGGTATAGGGCTAGGCTATAAATAAATCAGAATGTAAGTCCACTAGTACTAAGTAGGAAAATATAACAATCGTAACTCATATCTTATTTTTCCAATACCCTGCATGTTACGCTTAGTGAGAGGGTTTCACTTGATTCGATTCCATACCACTACATTACGTTACACTATCATGTAGAGGGGTTGTATCCACAGACAGGCTTCATGCACTTGCTCACCGAGACAATACAAGTGACGACCAATCAATGAGATGAACGCAGATTTCGTGTTCTTAGATTTATTATCATACTTGACTCACGTACATCTTTTCGTCACGACTATCAAGAGAAAACTGCCTCACACACACTTCCCAGCAACCAGTCTCTACACAAAATTGTCACTGTCGCACTATACACGTCATCATTCCATACGTTCAACATACCTTTCGCACCAATATTCAATCGCACCGATCTACACTCAGAACATGCATCATAACACTGCACCTATTTTGCATTCTTAATTTAGACACACACTCAAAATACTTTATATGCTGGTGAATTTTGTTGTTACAGTTTCTTGGCTTGTTTTTCTATCTAATATGATATTTCTATTCCTAAGAAAAGCATGAGACATAAAAGAGTGCTCTAAATAATAAACCATAGTAACATTTGAAAGTTCTTTAATACAATAAATTGTAAATATAGATCTACAAGATACATTTAAACAAAAGCCCTACAATTGTTTAAGTACCTTTAAAACTAAATTGCTATATGATGATTTTGTCAATCAGTAGGGCTACTTTTGAAAAAGAATAGACATATAGACTATACTAGGCATACTGCCTAGCTTCGCTTAGGTTTTCAAAAAAGTTGAGAAATTGAATGATTAATTAATAGTTGATTGGCTGTTATGTTAATGCTTAGGGCCTAAATTTATACAGTGGGGTACTATATTGTACCCATAAATTGATGGAATATTCGCAAACTTATTACTCGCAAGGTTATTAGAACTGAAAGGGCTCTCATAAAAATTATCAATCAAATATTATATTAACTTACTTTTGCAATTATTTTTACAATTTCAATACAATATAAAACTTAATTTATAACAAAATATCCATTTAAAACAATGCTATACTTTATGATTTTTGTTTTTTTTCTTAAAAAGAGTATACAAAATATTAAAAAATTGTTACATTAAAAAGTTACCTCCCCTGCTCTTAGACCAAATGACAAAATCTAGTATAATGAGAATTTCACTCGCAGTCATTTTTAGCCCTCGAAGAGGGCCTTGATGCTAAACAACAGTTTTTCCATACGGCCCATTCATCTATAGAGGTGTATGCAAAAAATTAGCCAGATCTACTGAGTTTAAGTACCCTAAAATCCGCGTTGAAATGACCCTCTGTTTTTCCCATAAAATACAAAGATTATATAGGGAAATACAACTGGTCAGTTTTGACCCCTTTACGAAGTTTTCCCAGATATGCCGAGTTTTTTGTGACACTCTAAGGCGTTCACCTACCACCTCACAAAATATCAAGGGGGGTCGTCGGAGGAAATTTTTTTTCGTAATAGAGCTCATATAAAGAGAATTTCACTCGCGGTCACTTTTTAGCCCTCGTCGAGGGTTTTGAGTGAGACCGACAGGTCTGCCCTAAGGTCAAGCCATTTACCTATAAACATGCCAAAAATTAGCCAGATGTAAAGAGGGTAAGTGCCCTAAAATCCGTTTTGAAATGACCCTCTGTTTTTCCCATAAAATACAAAGATTATATAGGGAAATACGACTGGTCAGTTTTGACCCATTTCCCGATTTTTCCCGGACATCGCGAGTTTTTTGTGACACCCCAAGGCGTTCTCCTACCACCTCACAAAATATCAAGGGGGGTCGTCGGAGGAAATTTTTTTTCGTAATATAGCCCATATAAGGCGCCGGTCAGTCGAGGTCAGTTTTGACCCCCTCTCCGTAGACTTTTCGGCAAACCGTCACCCGCCCTCGTGTTATATTGCCCGAAGGCACCATCGTGCCAAATTTGACCACTTTGCTTTATATATATAGATTTTGATGTATGCATGTCACTGTCAGCATACTCACTTCTTTTGCCCTGTCTATTTACAATTGTCTACTATATATTATCAACTATGAAATTGAAACACTAGAATTAGGATTTAGGCTGCTTCATTATAATTTACTGCAGTTATGTAAGTCACATAGATATGCAGTTGTGATACTATAATAATTAGTCTCCTTATTTCACCCAGTTGAAGTATTATTTTGGTGCTTTACCTTTTTTTGTGAATTATTTACATAGCATTATTCTTAACTGTTAAATTTCAGATCATCCAGTTTTGGCAGCTGTTTGTGTTCATTAAAATGGTTTTCCCTCCTGATGAGAGGTTTTATATTCAAGTGAAATTATAGCCATACCAAGCTGACATGCTTGCACAGTAAGTATTTTAAATTGAATTTAGTTCTTAAAATATTGGTTATTACTTGTTAGTTTGTTTTTTAAAATGTATGTAGTTTTCTATATCTCATATTTTTTGTTTCTTGAAATAAAACAGTTACATTTTACACTCCTGTGTATGATTTCAGATCTCAAAGATCAGTTGTGACAGCTGTGTGTATTTGTACTGTAAACATCTTTTCAAACAGAAAACTGTGTAGGCCTACATTTTTGGTAAATCTTACAAACCAATGGCAGGCTTTTAATAGAACACTTTAAATATCTACAGACACTTGCCATGGAAAATTCCAACAAAAAGGCAAAAACCTCTACATTTACAGGTAATGAACAACTTTATTATACAAAAATTAAGTATCTGCTCAGTAATTTAAGGGAGAATTAATAAATCTTCTATAAAAGTGTGCTAATCTAGCAATACAATTATGTTATGTTATAGTTTTATGTCAACAGGTAGAGGTATCCTTTAATGTTAGATTATCAGAAAAAAGTATAATGATTTTTGTTCATTTTAATGGGTTTGTGTTATTATATCTTTCTGTAAGTAAGGAAAACTGACATACTAATAGTTTTGAAATTAGATGTAGTGCATGTAAATCTGTGCTAGCATGAACGTAATATATTTGTATTAAAATAATATGTGACGTTTATAGTATAGAAGTATTTATCTGTTTTAAACCTTTTAGAAGAATATGTTTCCCTTGTTTTGTAAGAAAACCACATATAGATTCTTAATTTCTTTTTAAGATTTAGCATGCTGTGAAAACCCCAACAAAGTCAGACACAGTTATGTGTTTTGTCCAGGTAAGAAACAATAAACATAAGCTAAATCTAATATACATAATTATACATTTGTGCTAGTTTAACAAAAGCATAGCTAATTAATTAAATTTAAAGAATTGTATATCATTTTTAAAGCTATTTTAGTCAATTTAAATAATTTGTTCCTGTAGGAAATCATGAAGCTGAGATGTGCTATGGAGGAGAAGCTGATCTACACAAACATGTTACTGGCTGTAAGAAGAATCCAGGTCACAAAGGTTTTATACCTTTAAAAGATTTCAACACAAATTGTCTCCCCTCACGTTACCATGACGACGACCTCATGTCTGAGACAGTCAAAGCTTTGGCAGCCCTAACTGTCCAGGTAAAGACTAAATTCACCAGTCTAGAGAGACCAGAGTTTTACCCAGGCACTCAAGTTCCTTATCCATGTTATAATGACAGAGGAAGTCACATGATGAGGTTAGGGACAGGGAGGGTGTGTGATGTGATCAAGTACACACAGTGGGACGGAGCTTGTCGTTGTGCCAAGTGTCAAGTCTCTGCCACACCCAGCAAAATGTGGGGGGAGGTTCATATGGTGACAGCCACACACGTCGTGTTTGATGCCAGTGAGGCGAGACAGACCAGGTGTGTTTTAGGTTTTGATGACAATAAAAGTCCAGGGGTCAGTCTTGATGGCTGGGAGTTGTGGGGTGGGGCAAACATTGAGGGAGACTGGTGTGAGTTATGTGACATGTGACTTAAAGTTGATTGAAGAACTGGACAAGATGTGTTGGCGATTTGATGATCTATGTAGGGAAGTAGAGGACAAATACAGGAGATTTGTTGATGTGGACAAGTTGACCGTTATAGTGTCACATCCTCATGGCTGTCCTAAACAGATCTCTGTAGGACAATGGACACACAAACATGAGAGGGTTGATGATGTTGATGTTATCCCCTGGACCAGGTACTGGTACACAACATGTACATGTCCAGGCTCCAGTGGAGCGCCTGTCTACAGGCCGGGATCTCAAGGGTGGTCGTATGGCCATCGCCACAGTGGATCAAACTCTAAAGGAAATTATAGTGGGGAGGATTGGTAAGGATGTAACTTTTAGTTCTTTCCCCTTGTCTACACAATGTAAACAAACATAATGGCGGAACCTTTCCCGTCATTAAACAGATTGTGTTAAGACATACATGTCCTACCAACATTTTATTACGTTTAGATGATTAAAACAAATGTTTTGATTAATTTAATCCATTGAACCAAATTAATTCACATGTACTTTGATGGATTTTAGAGGTTTTTTTTGTTTCATAAGTTTTAAATAATTTGCTTATACTTTTTGTCGGCAAATTGTTGTCATGTAGATTCTACCTAGATCTATAAGCTGGATAATACCTGTAAATGAAATGTAACCTACCTATCAAATGTCATATTTATACTGTTTGTTTTTGTATACAAAATGTTTACACTAACCGACATTAAATGGTAAAAGAAACTGTTTTTCTTCTGTTGTTATTTTAATCGTTGTTGTCTTTTGATGTTTAAGTTGTTGTTAAACAGCGCATTTTGTGATGCCGATGTTTGCGCCAGGTTGTCATGGATTGTAAACTTTACAACAAAGTCCATTTGTTTATGTCTAATGCACCTGTAAGGCTAATTTAAATGAGATAGTTAGAAACAAAAATGGAATTCTAATCATTTTAAAATATTTCTACACGTCACATGCTGTAGTTATATATTTCGAAGCTTCTAGATCTGCTCCAATAGAAAATTAAAAAAAAAATAGTTTGATGCTGTCATTGACTGATATTTGTGTAAACATTGTTGTCATTATATCTACACTGAGACTATACTCAACACATACTTCATACTGACTTGGTAATCTAAATCTTACTAGAGAGTCTAGAGGTTTTCAAACAGACTGAAGTCTTTACACACAAGACATGTTGTTATGATTTGTTTTAATTGGAAAAAAAGGTATTTTTTTTCAAAACCCGATCAGGCCAGAAATGAGTATCCTATTTTCTTTATATATATATATATATATATATATATATATATATATATATATATATATATATATATATATATATATATATATATATATATATGGTTCCATGACAAATGATCTCAGGACAAATGATCTCAGACAAAATATCTCAGACAAAATATCTCACGGACAAATGATCTCAGGACAAATGATCTCAGGACAAATGATCTCAAGGACAAATGATCTCACGGACAAAAGATACCAGGACAAAATATATCAGGACAAATGATATCATGGACAAATGATCTCAGACAAAATATCTCAGACAAAATATCTCACAGCGAAATTTTAATAGTATTTACGATGATTTTAGTTGAACCTTTTTATTGACCGTTAATATGATTTTGTTTACTTTGTTTACGTATAATAATTGTGAATAAAATGAATTAGTGAAACCTAACAAACCACAAAAGGTGTATTGAGCAATTGTAGTAGCATTTGATTTGAAAAAGTAAAAATTAAAACAAACTTACTGTTTTATCCTGAAAGGTTTAATAAATAATAATGTATAAAACAAAGAAACGGCAGTTACACAACATTAAGGTTCATAACACGCGAAATATCTTTCAAAATGTGAATGGGTCTGAAGGTTCGTAACGTTAAACTATTGTTTTTATTGCATCATCAGCACAAACATAACGTTTAAGTTTCTTTGCTGGCAGGTACATTAATATGATCACACCTCTCCAATACTATGTGATCATCTATTGTGTGAGCTCTTGCTCGACATGTCCTAATTTCACATTTCCAAATCTCTTTGCCTGCTTATGGCAAACATAAATTCAGCAGAAACTAATGTCCTAAAACCTTTCTGCGAGGTAACGAAAGAGACCATAGCAAAGCAATCACCATTAATACTGATTTGTTTGATGCACACTACGACATACTTAGCTCCGCGATGACCGCTGTCGTTTAAATAAGCATTGGTCACCTGATCACTAAGGTGTGACCGACGCATAACAATACACTTTAGATACAAGTCGTATTGTCCATGGAGGGCGGATGTCTTTCCCTTAAGGTATGTCTCTGCTATCAAAGCGGGCGGCCACCTTAATACGAAGGTGTGTCTTTATTGTTATTTCATTCCCTTTGATCTAGTTTCGTCCACCTGACGTTGTAGGATTGTCTCACGTTTGTCAAGCACACCTACGCTATCTTTCGAAATTATTTCTTTAATCTTGGAATACTATATTACTAATACTAACCTTAAAATCTTTAGTGCAATATGACACATTTATACGGCAAACATTGCTTACAATTATTATATAGGCCTAGGCATATAAACAATATTAAACATAGTAAACAAAACCATAAGACAGTCAACAACAAAAAATCAGATCAATTAAAATCACCCAATACACTATTAAAATTTAGGTGTGAGATATTTTGTCTGAGATATTTTGTCTGAGATCAATTGTCCGTGGTATCATTTGTCTTGATATATTTTGTCCTGGTATCTTTTGTCCGTGAGATCATTTGTCCTTGAGATCATTTGTCCTGAGATCATTTGTCTTGAGATCATTTGTCCTTGAGATATTTTGTCTGAGATATTTTGTCTGAGATCATTTGTCCTGAGATCATTTGTCCTGTCACCATATATATATATATATATATAAAGGGGTGGCCCTTTTCTTTTAGTTCTGCCACTGTGTAGTGACCTTTTCTTTTCTTCTAAAAATAAGTGGGATAGAAGTTGTATTCTACAAAGTAAAATTTTTTATCAAACCCCAAATAAAGGTATGCACGTACACATTGTGAATGGGAAGAGATTCATTGATACGCTTGACCAATCATACTATAGTACAGTAATTAAAAATAATTCACGATAGGTTGCAACTAACCACTTGTGCTAGACAGCCATCTTGTTTCTAGATAAATGAAATCATCGCCTGTCTTCGTTTGTTTACTTATTTGCATATTCTCTTCTATTTGTTGTTTTAAAGTTATACAACAACATTAAGTTTAATAATTGAACTTTGCCTAGAAATGTACTGTTGATTATCACTAGAACAATATTAAACACTGTTTCGTACGCTTTATACTAAGCTGAAACAATGTGTCATGGACATGTCTGTCAGTTTGAAGAATGTACTGCCCATCCCCTTTACCCCTTCATTCCCTTCTCGCCATTCAAGCAACGGCTGGTTTATAATCTTGTTACGGTATGTTGTGATAGGCTTGAACGCGTTCATCAGGCTTTACACCGAACTGTATACGACACGATTGTAGGAAAAAAATTCACAGGAAAAAAAACACAGGAAAAACAACACAGAAAAAAGTCACAGGAAAAAAAGTCACAGGAAAAAAAGTCACAGGAAAAAAAGTCACAAATATATATTTGCATGATATTTGTTACTACTTTTATGTATTAAATATTTAGATAGTGCAAATTAACTTAGGATTAATTAAATGTGATGTAATGAGTCTAGGCTGTATACGCAAAGGAATTTTTATAATTCATCTAAAATTATTTATTATAAAGTATGTAGATTGTAATTATTTTAAACTTAAGATTAGTAGCATTTAATAGAATGCTCCAAAGTCCATGTTTTTCATCGTGTTTTTTTAAAATACCAATATTAAATTACAGTGAAATGGTAAGTTTATCTGACTTGCTGCCCTCAAATCACGGCAACAATAGTTATGATTAGTTCAACCACCTTTACTGCCCACATTTATCACGCTCATTACATAACAAAACTTAGGATCAAAACAGAAAGCCGACAAGGTTCAAAGGCTGTCGATGACGCATAACGTCAACAACACAAAATATGTTCGGACAATGCCTACTGAGGAGAGGCCGACCAAAGAATAGCCTACGGCAAAATGTGCATAAATTTCTTTTATAATTAACTTTTCTTCCGCGTATTTAACTATATACATAACAAATGTTGAGATTGTTGTGTTAATTATCTTAGAGTATTTTAACTTACAATTGTTATAAATCATAATGCTTTTAACGTCTATAAATAATTTATGCTATCAAAAAATACAACCCACAACAATAAATATACACAATTTTACAATTTTTAACAAATTAATAAAAATATTTCTTAAACGATTTTAGTGACTTTTTTTCTGTGACTTTATTTCTGTGACTTTTTTTTCGATAAAATTTTTCCACTGTGACTTTTTTCCTGTGACTTTTTTCCTAGCAAAAACTGTGACTTTTTTTCTGTGTTTTTTTTCCTGTGACTTTTTTTCCGTTCACGTACGACACATGTGTTAATGTGTATGCCCATCTCTCCGTATAGGGTGTGGTAGCAACGAACGTAAATACTTGATAGGATAGCTGAGAAGCATTCACTTAGGCCCTGTGCTGGACCCTATCTACACAGATGTGTTATTCGCGGTTGAATGAACATTGGTAATCTATGTGTTATGGACCGCTCTCCGACAGCCGCGGAGGGAGCGGACACCCCAGGTTCGTTTGGTATGGTACCGATAGAAGTCACTCTAATGGAATCCCAACAACTTGCCGTGAGCTCGTTAAAGCTGTCTAGGGGTAAACACGACAAATCGAAGAGACTCAACACGACTTAAACTATCAATACCTTTTTAATAAATGTACAAGATTATGACACTAGGTAAGTTCAAAATGTACAGACTCTAAGAGTACAATAAATAAACTCAAAAACTCCAACTTACAGTTTGAGAAAATCACAATATAACAAAGCTGTGGCTCAGTATATTATACACCAATAAAGATCAATACTTCACACAACTGAATAGCATCATAATTACCACATAAAACAAAGAAGAGACTTATTGCCTCTACAACAATAGAAATCCAAATAAAGGTCAAACTATCACCGAAGTAATCAAAAAGGTGCAATAATACACCAGAACAAAATATTAGAAATACTACAACTTGCCACCCAATACCTTATACAAAAGGTGTTAATCATGTCACAAAATAACAATACTGAAAAAGTGGCACACATAACCACCGGCACAACTCTCCTGGTCCAAAGGTCAATCTGGCTGCCTTTAGACATGAAAAAACCCGAGATTAAATACAACTCAGATTAAGGGGAAATAACTCAAAAGTCTTACGACTATTGGTTGAGGATCTGTCAAGGATCCTCACGGTCGCAAGACCATTGGTTGAGGTTCTGCCAGGGATTAAAAATACAATCACCTGATGTGACAGAGTTCAGTTGACCGATTCGTACCAGTGAACTGACAATTCTCCCAAGGACAAATACATAACTCAGGAGATTCAATATAAATAAAGCAAAAAGACCTAAGTAGGTCACATATGGCTCATCAGTTCTTCACGCACTATCCAGCGGTGGGGTGGGTTGGAGGGGCGTGTCTAGTCTCAAGCGTTAAACCCAGTGTTGTGTAGTAGGCTATTATCATAAGGCAATAAACTTGTGTAAGCTACCATTTAAGTAGAGAA